TCTACCACTGAGCCACACCCCAGCCCCTCACTGGGGGATTCTAGGCAGGGCTCTCCTGAGTTGTCCTCTCCCCAGCCCACATTGACCTGCTCTGCTGCAGAGAATGAAGCCCTTTTGGTCAAGGTGGTCTGGGTTTGAGTGGGGAGGCATTTTGGAGATGGTGTGGCTCTTTAAGCTGTCACTGGTTGCCACTTGTCCGTCTTCCCTGGCACTGTCCACAGTGTGGTGTTCTGCCAGCTTCCCTCATCAGGGCCCCCTGGATTCTTTTTTAGAGGTGGTTCTAAGTGTTTTGGTGTTGTGCCCACCCTTCCTGTCTGTGCGCGAGGAAGAGCTGAGCTGTGGGTGCTTGAGAGCCACCATGTGGGTGCTGGGAACCCAACCCAAGTCCTCTGCAAGAGCAGCAGGTGCTCTTCACCTCTGAGCTATCTCCAGTCCCTGACACTGACACACACACACACACACACACACACATTTGGAGACAGGGTCTAGCGATGTCTCCCTGGCTGGCCTGGAACTCACTGTGTGGCCCAGGCTGGTCACAGAGATCCATTTACCTCCCCTTGCCCTGTCTGTGCTGGGATTAAAAGCTTTTGCTACCACACCACAGTTCCCCTCGGTTCTTGTGTGTGAGGAGGCCGGGACTGTACACACTCAGCACTGTCCAAGAGGGCAGCTCTGCCCAGCTCTCTACAGAGGGTTGTGAGCAGTTGCTCATGGACACAAGTCAGGTGCTGTGTCATTGAGTCCCTCGCCCCGGGGCTCACTGTCAGTGGCCACTTGTAATTATCCGGCCTCTTTGTTTGTTTACCAAGTTCAAGTTTCCTGTGGACCCATGCTAAAGTGCTCCTCAAGCCTTCCTTAGTCCTCATAACACTTCTGGAGGGTGCGACACTGTCATTATGTCCTCATTACGCAGCTGGGAAACTGAGGTACAGATGTTAAGAGCCTGGATTTAAACCCACACATTATTGTGCCCTGGGTCATCGTGGAGTACTTCCTCCCAGAGCTGAGACACAGGCTTCCTGGTTTCTGTATTTGTTCGAAGTGGGGAGACAGGTGCTGGCGGTTAATGCAGAGGACTTGTTCCATTTCTAGTACAGCCTCCTGTAACTCTGATTCAGCTCCCTCTTCAGGCCTCCATAGGTACCTGCACACATACACACCATATATAGATGCAAACACATGACACATAAACATGAAATAAAAAATATTTTTTAAAATGTGAGCAGATGGGGGCTGGAGAGTTGGCTTGGTGGTTAAGAGCACTGGCTGCTCTTCCAGAGGACCTGAGTTCGAGTCTAAACATCCACATGGTAGTTCACAGTAACCCCAGTTCCGAGGGATCCTCTTCTGGCCTTCAAAGGCACCAGGCACACACACATGTGCACAGATATACATGCAGGCAAAACACCATACACATCAAAAAATCTGTTTGTTTTTCAAGACAGGGTTTCTCTGTATGGCCTTGGCTGTCTTGGAACTCACTTTGTAGACCAGGCTGGCCTCAAACTCCCAGAGATCCCCTGTCTCTGCCTCTGGATTGCTGGGATTAAAGGCGTGCACCACCACCACAACATTAAATAATTTTTAAAAAATGTTTAAGTAAAAATAAAGCCAGGCACAGTGGTGCACGCCTTTAATCTCGGGATTTCTGGAGGCAGATGCAGTGGATCTCTGTGAGTTCAAGGACAGCCAGGTCTGTGTTCTTAAAAAGAACATACATGAATGAATGAATGAAGTGGGGAAATAGGAGAAGGGTCTGGTAAGACCCCATCCTCACAGAGATGAGATATTGGCAGTTAATGGTTGCTGAAGGAGGGGGAGTCATTTTCTTGAGTGGTCTAGCCTGGGCTTGTTTCTCATATTCCAGTAGAAAGCCCCACAGCCATGCTCATGCAAAGCACTGGAAACTAGACTCCATGGACCACAAAACAAAACTCGTGAAAGTCAGAGGGAGACTCTTTGGCAAGAAAAGGGTTCAGCAGGAGCCACAGAGGAAGAGAAGTCATGAGGGTGACTGTAACCAAACTACATTGCAGGCCTGTGTGAAGCCGTCCTGGAGAAAGACTAGCTCCAGGGGTAAAAACCGCTCACCTCGCACGCACATGTGAGGCCCCACTCTCTAGTGCTGTAAAGGTGGGCAGAGAACAGAGCCCGGGAGACGGATCGATGGACAAAATACTTTCAATGTTAGCATGAAGACCAGAGTATGATCCTCAGCACTTTTATGTTAAACGCTGCACATAAGGTACAGCTCTACATAGAAGTAGCAGTGAACATCTGGAATCCCAGCACTGGGGAGGCTGAAACGGGGTTCGCTGGCCTTTGTTGGCCAGCCTGGCTGAACCACTGAGCTGCAGGCTGGAGCACCCATGTCCGAGTGAGGGGCTGAGGATTAAAGACAAGACAGCGGGTCATTCTTCTCAGGAGAATGCCGTTTATTGAAGGAGGGAAGAGGCCTTAAATACAGGCTCACATCACAGTGGAAGAACCCCGGGAGGGCAAAAGTTTGCTACAAAAGTTTCACTATCTCACGCCCCAGCTGTTTTCTCAACTATGCAGAGTACACGAAACAAGGAACCTGCCTTTAGCTGGAGGAAGGGAGCCGGCAGGAAGTCAACATAGGGAGGACATCTGATGAGGTCAGCAAGCAAGGCCGCAGCTACCCAAGGAATGGGGGTCAGGGCCCAACAGCAGGCCAATCAGAAACCCTGTCTCAAATAGGATGGGTAGTTGGAGAGATGGCTCAACTGTTAAGAGCATTGCGTGCCCTTCCAAAGAATCCAGGTTGGATTCTCAGCACACGCATAGCGGCTCAGAACCGCCTCTAACCCCAGTTCCATGGACTCCTATGCCCCCTTCTGGCCTCTGCTGGCACTGCATGTGCACAGACATTCATGCAGGCAAAACCCCCATCACAAACTAAAAATAAACTTAAAAAAAAATAAATAAAAAGACAAGGTGGGTCAGCTGTGGTGGCGCACAATTTTAATCTTGGCACTGGGAGGCAGAGGCAGGCAGATCTCAGTGAGTTCCAGGCCAGCCTGAGCTATATATTGAGACCCTGTGTCCTCTCTGCCTTGGCACTGCCTGTCCTGGAGACCGCTGGCCTGTACCCTCCCCCACGCGACTGACCTCTTCCCTTTCTCCCTAGGAGCCCAAGATGTGCGGGTACGAGTGCTCCCAGAGGTCCGGGGCCGCCTGGGAGGCACCGTGGAGTTACCGTGCCACCTGCTCCCACCCACGTCGGAGCGCGTCTCTCAGGTGACCTGGCAGCGCCTGGATGCTGCGGTCGTGGCCGCCTTCCACCCATCCTTCGGCGTGGACTTCCCCAACCCTCAGTTCACCAAGGACCGTCTGTCCTTTGTCAGAGCGAAAGAGGACACAAACGCAGACCTGCGGGATGCCACGCTGGCCTTCCGGGGACTGAGGGTGGAGGACGAGGGCAATTATACCTGCGAATTTGCCACCTTCCCCAACGGCACCCGCAGGGGGGTGACCTGGCTCAGAGTCATAGGTGAGTGGGGGACAGTGTGAGCGCCCTTCCCTTGGCTGCTTCTCCCTGTCTCGGCTTTCAGGTGGACCGTCTTTATGTGTTTGCAGGTGTCATATTTGGTTCTGTTGGGGTTTGTTTGTTTGTATTTTTGTTTTATTGAGAATTGGAACTCATGTAGTTAAGGCTGGCCTCAAACTTTTTTTACTTTATTTTTTTAAAGTTGGGTGCGTACATGCGTGTGTATGTGTGTCCCCTGCAGTGTTTGGAGGTTAGAAGACAACTTTGGGGAGTCAGTTCTCTCCTTACACCTTGGGAGTCCTGGGGATCAAACTCAGGTTATCAAGCAGTCAGGCGTGGCAGCAATTGCATTTACCTGCTGAGCCGTTTTTGCCAGCTCCAGCCCCTAACGTCTGCTTGTCCAGGGGTGAGCGGGAAATTTCGATCCTCCGCCTCCACCTCCGAGCACTGGGATTAAGGACTTGGCTGTCACACCTAGTTCATTTGGTGCTGGGGACCAAACGGCACTTTGTGTGTGCTAGGCAAGCACGCTACCAACTTAGCTCCGATTTCCTTCATTTTCCTTTCTTCCTTCCTTCCTTTTATTTCTTTATTTTAAATAATTGAACTTTAAGGGTTGGGGATTTGGCTCAGTGGTAGAGCGCTTGCTAAGGCCCTGGGTTCGGTCCTCAGCTCTGGGAAATAAATAAATAAATAAAATAATTTAACTTTATGTTATGTGCATTGGTGTGAAGGTGTTAGATCCCCTGGAACTTGAGTTACAGGCAGTTGTGGGCTGCCATGTGGGTGCTGGGAATTGAACTCTGGTCCTGGAAGAGCAGCCAGTGAGTGCTCTTAACCACTGAGCCATCAATCCAGCCCATCTTCCTTCCTTTTAAGAAACGTAGCCCAGGCTGGCTTGAAATCTAAATCCTCCTGCCTCCATCATCGGGTGCTAGGATTACAGGAGCATGCCAAGACACCTATCTTTGACCGATGCTTATTAAGCACCTACTGAGTGCTAGTTGCTGACTCTGTTTACCAAGTAGACGACAGCATTTTTTCCCCTTGAGTCAGGGTTCAATATGTAGCCCAGGCTGGCCTCAAATTCGAAGCAGCCCAGTTGCCTCAGGGCTGGGACTATCGGTATTTGGGCCATGACACTCCACTCTGGTTTTGTACTGAGAATAAGAGCCATGGAGGTTCTGAGCAAGCACAGGGCTGTAACTTGGAGAGTCCTGGGTGTCACTGAGAGCTCAGACAGCTTGTTTGAATCAAACGATGTGACTGGGTCGGGGATCGGAGAGGCGGGAAGCAGGGAGTAGGCCTTAGGTTGCTTTGGCTTGACCCCGGGTGAGGGGTGCAGGAGACGGAGGAGGCAAAACGGGCAATCTTAGGAGGTCTGCACCACTGTTCCTGGGCTGGGGGAACTGAGGACCAGAAAAGACTCCCATGGGGCCGAAAAGATGGCTCAGCGGAAAAGAGTACAGGCAGCCAGCGGCGGTGGCGCATGCCTTTAATCCCAGCACTCAGGAGGCAGAGCCAGGAGGATCTCTGTGAGTTCGAGGCCAGCCTGGTCTACAGAGTGAGATCCAGGACAGACACCAAAACTACACAGAGAAACCCTGTCTTGAGGGAGAAAAAAGAAAAGAGTACTGGCTCCTATTTCATAAGACCCATGATTCCCAACACCCACATGGCAGCTCACAATCATCTACGTCACCCGCTTCTCTCCTCTGGTACTGCAGACATGTGGCGTGCAGGCACAACACCCATACACAAAAAATTAAAATTGAAGGGCCCCCAGCTTGCTGGCCTGCCACAGCCAGCTGGCACAGTGGCAGAGATTTCTCACTAAAGGTGGAAAAATCCCGTGCAAGCCACACCAGCCAACCCTCCAGACACCATATTGCCCCAGGTTGGAAACCTCCCTGTACATTCTGGAACAGGAGGAGCTACTTCCATAGCCCTTGCCAGTTCTTGGGGAGCAGGCCTGTCACCCCATAAACTCAGGGAGCTGAGGCAAGCTACGGAGAGAGTTGAAGGCCAGCCTGGGCAACTTGAGACCCCTTCTCAAAATCAAGTTTTGTTTTGTTTTGATTTGTTTTTCAAGACGGGGTTTCACTGAGAGTTTGAGGCCAGCCTAGTCTACAAAGTGAGTTCCAGGACAGCCAGGGCTACACAGAGAAACTCTTGTCTCAGAAAAACAAAAAGGGAAAAGAAAGTTCTTGCTGTGAATGAAGCTCTATAATCGACTATTTCCCTAGAATCCCCCAGGGAGGGGTTGGGGGCGTGGCTCTGTGGCGGAGCACCTGTCTGGCATGGGGGAAAAAAAAGGGCAGGGCTGGAAATGGTAGAGCGCTTTCCTGTGATGCACGAAGCCCTGGGTTCGATCTCCAGCACCGCATGAAAGCAGGGATGATGCCGCACGCCTGCGTTGCCCATGCGTGGAAGATAGAATTAGGATACTCGAAGGCGAGGTCATCTTTAGGTGTGGAAAGTGAGTCCAGGCCAGCTGGGCTACATGAGATCCCATCTCAAAAAAAAAAAAAAAAAAGACACACACACACACTGCGAAGCCCTTCTCCCACACCTCAGAAAGCTCTCCACTCTTGTGCAATAGCTTGAACAAGACAATAGTGGAGAAATGCTTCAAGCCGGTCGTGGAGGCATGTGCCTGTTCTCCAAGGCTGAAGCAGAATCACAAGGTTGAGGCTAGCCTGGGCTACATAGCCAGACCCTACTTCAACACGGTGAAAAATAAATAAAAGGACAGCTGGGGCTGTTGCTCAGTAGCGGGCGCTTAGCTGGGGGCCCAGGGTCCTCGGCTGTGGGTCCCTGGGCTGTGCTGCACAGTGGAACAGAGGTGACGGGGAGGGGGGGAGAGGGAAGGGAAAGGGTGAGGGGGGAGAGAAGAGAGGAAGCAGGAAGCGGCTCAGTGGCACAGCCTTGGCTGTCGTTCACAAGGTCCTAGGTTCCATCAATAAGAGGGAAGAAGGGGTGGGGAGGGAGGGCAGGCAAGCTTTAGAACATCAGTCAGCCGACAGGCACTATGGGTACAGCCGCCTCTGTCTCTGTGGTCAAGCCGGTGAGGTGGGGGCCACAGAGACCGGGAAAGTCCCATTGAGGAAGTTAGCCTCTGTTTGGGATGAGGTCTGGAGGGTATAGAACGCCCATCCTAGGGCTCTGCACCATAGCTAGGCTCCACAGTCAGGAGGAGCTTCCCAACGGAACGTCCCTGTGGGCACTGATGGACAGGAGGGCCTGATGGATCGATGGCCTTTGGTGGTCATGGGGAGACAGTGGAGAGGGGAGGGGGTGGATAGCTGGGGGACACCTGCTCAGGTGGGCAGGTCCACTTGGAGGCAGGAGACCCGTGAGTCCTGGCTCCATGGACAACACTGGTTAAGAGACACCAGGGGAGTGTGCCTTGCTGTCTCCCTTGTAGGTTTTTACGTGTTTTCCGGGAGGATAAGGTCAAAGGGCAAATGTAATGAGCAGCTGGGGATCCCTGTTGTTTTTATCCCTTTGCAGAAGCACAGGACAGTGTGGTCACAGGAAAAGAAATGGGCACTTTGCTTTTCCCTTCTGCTTCTGGGGGACGGAACCCAGGGCCTTGGCATCCTAGATAAGAACTCTACCACTGAGCCCCTCACCGACCCTTACTGGGGGATTCCAGGCAGGAACTTTGCCACGGAGCCACACCTCTCTAGACCTTCTTTCCTCCTCCCCGCCCCCTTCCTTTCCTTTTCTTTTGGTTCTTTTTTGAGACAGGGTTTCTCTGTGTAGCCCTGGTTGGTTGTCCTGGATCTCACTCTGTAGACCAGGCTGGCCGCAAACTCACAGAGATCCGCCTGGCTCTGCCTCTGACTGCTGGGATTAAAGGCGTGCGCCACCACCACCCGGCCCCCCACTTATTTTTTTTTATTATTAATTCAAAGTCTGACTATGTAGCTTAAGCCAGCCTCAAACTTACCATCCTCCTGCCTCAGCCTTCTCAGCAGTGAGATCACAGGTTTGCACTACCAGCCTTGGCCTGTGCCTCTTTCTGATGGGGAAGTGAGGATATTGTAAAATGTCCAGCACAGGCTTGGTGGTACACGCTTTTAATCTCAGTCAGAGGCAGGTGGATCTCTGGGAGTTCAAAGTCAGCCTAGGTGAGAACCAGTCTCAAAAGAAATATATATCTATTACACGGGCTAGGATAATGTGCACCAGACAGATCCTAAGCACTGGGCATGTTGTTTGACCCATACGTCAGTCCCATGGTGCGGGGACTTTAGTTACTGTGACACTAGAGGAAATGGCCTGCCTAAAGCTGTGCACGTGCTAGGAGGTGGGCTGGGCTCTGAACCAGGGCAGCAGAGCCTGACTGTGGGCCCCACGCTCCACGGTCACTGCTCAGATCTTTGTCGCGTGAATGCAAGTCCGAGTCACACATCTTCTTTGTCCTCTCCCTAGCCCAGCCTGAGGATCATGCTGAAGCCCAGGAGGTCACGTTCGGCCCCGAGTCCGTGCCTGTTGCCCGTTGTGTCTCCACGGGGGGCCGCCCACCTGCCCGGATCTCCTGGGTCTCAACCCTGGGTGGAGAGGCCAGAGATACTCAGGAGCCGGGACCGTGGTCCGGCACCGTCACTGTCATCAGCCGATACTCCTTGGTGCCGGTGGGCCAAGCGGACGGCATCAAGGTCACGTGCAGAGTGGAACATGAGAGCTTTGAGGAGCCACACCTGCTGCCGGTGACCCTCTCCGTGCGCTGTGAGTGTGCCCGAGGTGGTTTTCCCTCGCTCTTGCCGTCCATGCTGGCCCTGAGTACACCCGCTCACACCAGCCAGACCTTGCCTACTATCCGTACCAGCTTCTGAGGGCCTCATGTGTATGCAGACCCCAGAATCGACACTGGGATTCTTCTTTGTAAACCAGACTGGCCTGCAGCTCCCCTGCCTGCTCCCCAGTGTTGTTTCCTTTGGTCTCTAGGGACCGTGGGCTCCCCAGCCTTCCCAAAGTGTCCTAGGCTAGCTTCTCCAGAAACTACCTATAGTAACAACCGTCAGTTTCCTCTAGAGAGCCACCCCAGCACACTCCACACAAGAGCTGGAATTCTACCCTTTGCAGTTTTGTTTTGGGTCAGGGTCTCACTATGTAGTCCTGGCTGGCCCAGAACTTTCTATGTAGACCAGGCTATCCTCCAACTCACAGAGACAAATACACCTGCCTCCTGAGTACTGGGATTAAAAGCATGCACCAATCTGTACAGTAATTTTGCTTTGATTGTTTGTTTGTTTGGGTTGGTTGGTGGTTGGTTTGGTTTTGATTTTTCAAGACAGGGTTTCTCTGCATAGTCCTGGCTGTCCTGGAACTCACTCTGTAGACCAGGCTGGCCCTGAACTTAAAGATCCACCTGCCTCTGCCTCCCAAGTGCTGGGATTAAAGGTGTGCCCTAGGCTGTTTTGTTTCTTAAAGACTTAGTATTTATAATTCTTTCTATGTATCTATGCCTGTGCACATGAGTGTAGGCCAGAGAGAGGTGTCAGACACCCCTAGAGGTGGGTCACGGGCAGCTGTGATTGCCTGATGTGGGTGCTGAGGACAGAACTCTCTTTAAGAGCAGTACACACTCTGAAGTGCTGAGCCATGTCTCCAGTCTTTGGTTTTGTTTTGTTTTGTTTTGTTTTTTTGAGAGAGGTCTGGTACCCGAGGCTAACCTTGAGCTCTGCGTAGCTAAGGATAGCCTTGCGCTCCTCCTGATCCTCCTGCATCGACCTCCTCAGTGCTAGGATTATATACATGAACCATCCCACTCAAACCCAGTGTGTTCACCGCCCTGCTGACTCACTGCGGTAACGGACCCAGGATCCCAGTGGAATATTGTGCCCTCCACCATGAGATAGAGTCTCCCTGCCTCGTCTGCAGTGGCTCCTTCCAGCCATATTTGTCCTAGGACCCTCAGTGTAAGCCGGTCCACCCTGACTTCCTTTATGTCTACACTGGCTGACCTAAACTGTCTGAGTATACTATCGCCCATGTGGTCTACCCTAGGCATGTCGGATTGGGAGCGCTCTCTCTCTCTCTCTCTCTCTCTCTCTCTCACACACACACACACACACACACACACACGTAGTTGTTTTCTTTTTTTTTTTTTTTAATAATTCATTTATTTTTATTTCATGTACATTCATGTTTTGCCTGCATGTATGTCTGTGTAAAGGTGTTGGATCCCCTGAAACTGGAGTTACAGGCAGTCGTGAGCTGCCATGTGGTTGCTGGGAATTGAACCCGGGTCCTCTGGAAGAGCAGCTGGGTGCTCCTATCCACTGAGCCGTCTCTGCAGCCCCTGTAGTTGTTTTCTCAACCCTGCCTGAGCTGACATGCAGGTGGCTTCCTGGGTGAAGTTCACACTTCCCAGAGCATACACGGTGTGGCCTGCTAACCCCCGTTCGTTATGACTGATGCGCCTCCCGCCACCTGTGGTGCTAACTTGTCCCCAGTTCTGGAGTCCCCTTGGTCTCTGAGTCAGCCGTCCCTTCCTCTCAGATCCTCCCGAAGTGTCCATCTCTGGCTATGATGACAACTGGTACCTCGGCCGCAGTGAGGCCATCCTGACCTGTAACGTACGCAGCAACCCGGAGCCCACAGGCTATGACTGGAGCACGTGAGTGACATGAATCGAGGGTGGGTGTGAGGGAGGAGGGCTGGGCTCTAGAACCCTGGGTTTGACGGTTTTAGTCTCGGGGCAACCTGCTCTCCCTGGGTGCCTGCTAGGCTGCTCACCTCACCCCGCACCCTTAGGACCTCGGGCGTCTTCCCGGCCTCCGCAGTCGTCCAGGGTGCCCAGCTGCTTGTCCATTCTGTGGATCGGTTGGTCAACACTACTTTCATCTGCACAGCCACCAATGCTGTGGGGACAGGCCGTGCTGAGCAGCTCATCCTGGTCCGAGGTAAGGAGGTCTTGGCGTTTGAATATAAAGCCCTGTGGTTTCTCCCTTTGGGGCTTGGGTCCACTTTGGGGTGTCACTGATGCTGCCCTAGGATGAGAGGGAGTTAGACCTGCCTCTGTCTGCACAGATGAGTGTATATATAGTTCAGCCTCTCCATCCTGGCCTGCAAGTGTAGGATGTGACCACAGGCTGTGACCATAGGCTATAACTGGGGGGTAACCCGAGAGGAGAGTTGGCAGAGAATCACAGAGTGGAAGTCTGCACTGAGGTATCTTAAAAGCCAAGGTCTAAGCTAGGTATGATGTATGTCTAATAGCTCCAGCATTTATTCAAGAGACTGAGGCAAGAGGATTACTGTGAGGGTAGCCTGTTTCAAAGAAAGAAAGCCCCAAAGTTCAGTGAGAAAAGAGAATCAGCAGACAGGCTCAAGTCTGTGGTGGAGCAGAGCCTAAGGACAGATGTAGAACTTGGTCCCTGGGAGCGGACAAGACCACGTTAGTGTTAGTGTGCCTGGTTCTTGTGGCTACTGATGTACAGACCCACACAGAGCAAGAAATAGCTTGCTCAGTCATGAGGACCACAGCCAAGACCCACAAGCTAAAGATGAACCCAAGGCTGGGAATTCTCTTGAAACCTGGAAGTTCAGTCCCCCAGATGTGACCTTATATCATCAGAACCATTGTTACTGAGACCCACCCCAAGGAAGAGTGACACTGGTTAGGGCCTGTGACATGCCACAGGCGCCAGGAGAGAACTGTTCTTAGAAACGCCCTTGGCCAGACCTGGTTGGGGGTGAGGCAGAAGAATGACAAGATCAGAGCCCCTGCCTAGAATCCCCCAGTGAGGGGCTGGGGGTGTGGCTCAGTGATACAGCCCCTGCCTAGAATCCCCCAGTGAGGGGCTGGGGTGTGGCTCAGTGGTAGAGCCCCTGCCTAGAATCCCCCAGTGAGGGGCTGGGGGTGTGGC